CATGACTTTATTCTTAGGAGATACATGCTGACATATTTGGAGTATTGGGTCATGATGTTTACATTTAACTCAAGTAGTTAATGGTTGAGAAGGCTTTATATAGAGAATGAGAAAGCAAGAGTAGCAAAATTTTAACAATTTATGAATCTAGATGAAAGGAATAGAGGTGCTTATTTTTCAGTTCAGGCAATCTCGATAGTTTCTGTTTCTTATGTAGAAATTATTCTGTTTACATTTTCTGTCTCTACCAGGGTAAACTTTGATGTTATATATTTGTAGGAAATTATTTATTTCACTTTTGAATGTATTTGTATCAAGCTGTACAAAAAATCTTTTTCTTAGTTTTTTTCATGTTTTGTTTCAATGACTGTTCCTTCCTTCCTGTTTATTATTTTTATAGTTGAGATTTCTTTCCCTTGTTTTTATTAATTAGGTTAGCCAGTGATTTGCCTCCTTTATGATATTTTTCAAAGAACTAACATTTTTACTTAACAGTTTCTTCTGTTTTTCTGTTTCTGTTTTATTAACTTCTAACCTTTAAGAAAACCATTTGGAGATAAAATCCATATATTTGAAGGAACCAACAGGAACCTGATCCATATATTTGAAGGAACCAACAGGAACCTGGGAAAACTGACTTAAAACAGCCCTCTCTAAGACATACTTTAATGAAACCACTAGATCTTAAAAATGAAGAAAAATGAATAAAAAGATTTTATTTTTATTATTTTAAATTTATTACTTGCTTTTGCCTTTTATTATTTCCTTCTTTGTGCTTTCTCTCTACTTTTACATTATTATAGTTAACCTTTGAACAGCGTGGTTTGGACCACTAGGGTCCACTTATACACAGGTTTTTTTCAATAAATACTGTAAATGTATTTTCTTCTCCTTATGATTTTCTTTTTATTCTTTTTTGAGGTGACATTGGTTAATAAAATTATATGTTTCAAGTGTACAATTTAATAATAGCTCATCTGTATTTTACATTGTGTGTTCATCCAAAGTCAAATCTTTCGTCACCATATATTTGACCCCCTTACCCTTATTTACTTCCCCACTCCCCACTTTCCCTCTGGTGAGCACTACACTGTTTTATGTCTATGAGTTTTTGTCTTTCTTGTTTGTTTGTTGGTTTCAGTTTTATATTCCACATATAAGTGAAATCATATGGTTCTCGACTTTTCTAACTTATTTCACTTAGCATGATAATCTCTTGATCCATCCATGTTGTTGCAAATGGCAGTATTTCATCTTTTCTTATGATTAATATTCCATTATGTTTATGTACCACATCTTCTTTATCCAATCATCTCTTGAAGGGCACTTCAGTTGTTTCCATGTCTTAAACACTACGAATAGTGCTGCAATGAACATTGAGGTGAATATATATCTTTATGAATAAATGTTTTCAAATTTCTTAGGTAGGTACCAGGAAGAGGGATTAGTGGGTCATATGGTGATGCTATTGTTAATTTTTTGAGGAACCTTCATACTGTTTTTCATAGTAGCTGTACCAGTTGACATTCCTACCAGTAGTATGTGAGGATTCTTTTTTCCTCTCATCCTCTCCAACACTTGTTATTACTTGTCCTATTGATGATAGCCATTCTAAGCAGGTGTGAGAAGGTATCTCATTGTGGTTTTGATATGCATTTCTCTAATAGTTAGGTAAGTTGAGCATCCTTTCACATGTCTGTTGGTTGTTTGTATGTCTTCTTGGGAGAAGTGTGGTCAGGTCCTCTGCTCATTTTTTATTTGGATTGTTTGTTGTTGTACGAATTCTGTTAGCCTCATATTGGAGACATTGTTTGCAAATATCTTCCTCCATTCAGATGGTTGCCTCTTTATCCTGTTGATGGTTTCTTTTACTAGGCAGAAGATTTTTAGTTTGATATAGACCCATTCATTTATTTTTGCTTTTATTTTCCTTGCCTTTAAGGTCAAATTTATAAAATCCCCTCTAAATCCAAGATTCATGAATTTTAGTGCCTGTGTTTTCTTCTTTGCAATTTATTGTTTCACATTTTACATCGGGGTCCTTAATCCATTTTGAGTTAATTTCGGTGTATGATGATAGATAGCCCTCTAGTTTCATTCTTTTGCATCATGTGACTTTCCAGTATTCCCAGCACCATTTATTAAAGAGGCTTTCTTTTCTCCATTGTATGTTTCTGACTCTTTTGTTGAAAATTATTTTCCCATATATACGTGGGTTTATTTCTGGGCTCTCAGTTCTGTTCCATTGGTCTGTGTGACTGTTTTGCTGCCAGTACCATGCTGTTTTGATTACTGTCGCTTTGTAGTATAATTTGAAGTTGGGAGGAGTGATTTCTCCAGCCTCATTCTTTTTTCTCAGAATAGCTTTGGCAATTCGGGGTCTTTTGTGTTTCCATACAAATCTGATGATTTTTTGTTCTATTTCTTTTAAAAAAAAAAAATGCCATTAATGTTTGTTTTTTCTTGCTTCTCTTGAGTTCTGCTTCATGAAGGTGGTTTCATTTCTAGACACTCATAACTATTATTTTTCTATTCGAAGTTGTGGATTTTAGCATTGTAAATTGTTCCTTTTTCCTTCCTGATATCAAATGCTCCTCTGCTTTCTTATTGTTTCCCTTTGTCTTGAATAATATTGTCCATCTCTTTGCTGTTAGCCTCTTTGAATCTGTTTTAATATCTGTTTACCCTTTGCAGCATAGATTTGTGTTTTATCTATGATTGAAAATCATTTTTGTTTTAATTGGTGAGTTAAGCCTATTTACATTTATTGATCATCCTCATATTTAGTTTTAGTTCTGTCTTAGTGTTATGTAGGAAGCATATCACATTTACTGAATGTTTCTATTTGTTCTTTTTTGTAGTGAGGCAATTAGGAAATTTCGACGTTTTTCTTCTAGTAGTTACTTTTATATTAATATCTTGTATACTGGCCTAGTTGCCTTTTTCTTACTTAAGCCTCTATTTGATTTTTAAACTTTTAGTGACATCCTTTAGAGTCTGTTATTTATGTGGCTGTCTCTGAGCTTCTTTTTTCTTCTGTTTCTAAAGCTTTTTTAGTTGTAGTGTTTCTGTTTCACTAGAACATGTAACATTTATATATTACTTTCTATTCTTATATTCATCTTTTTTTTTTTTTGGTCATAGACCTACATCTGCAATTAAGTGTATCTACTTCTTAGTTCTTTTTTTTTTTTTTTTTGCCAGTGTTTCCTATCAAATCTTGATTGCTTGAAGTTTGTCCTCTGTTAGGTTTCATGATTACAGTATTACCTAAGTTGTTGAATATCTAAATTGGATTGCCTTTTTCTATTGCTTCAGCAGTGTAAAGGTAATGTGGCTGAATATAAACCTTTGACTCCCATTTTCTTCTCTTTAAAATGGTACTCCACTGAGTCTTGCTTTGTTTTACAGAGTATATTGCCAAACCTATGTGTTTGTTGAGATTTAGCATTTTTGCCCAGAGGGCTTTTTCTTCATTTTTCAGATCTAGTCAATATATTAAGGTATATCTTAGAGACAACTATTCCTAGTCAGGTTACCCAGGTTCATGGTGGTCCTTTTGAATATTTTGATCAGGTCTTTTATTTCTGGACAGTTTTCTTAGATTATGGTCTGAATATTAGATTTATTCCATTATTTTCTTTTTTCTGTTTAGAGACTACAATGATATACATATATACAGTTTTATTTTTGAATTTTTGTTTTAATTTGCAGACTACTTTCTTTATTCAGAACTTTCTTTGTGACCCAATTTTCTTTCTTTAGTCTTCTATTTCTTTTCTGCTTTCATGCCCCTCTTAATGCTATTTATTAAAATTTATCTTTGGGTTCTCTGTTGGTCTGCTTAGGCTGCTATAACAAAATACTTCAGACTGGGTGGCTTAAACAACAGATTTTTATTTTCTCACAGTTCTGGAGACTGCAAGTCCAAAATGAAGGTGTTAGCAGGGTTGGTTTCTGGTGAGGTTTTTTTCCTCAGCCTGCAGATAGCACCTTCTCTCTGTGTCCTCATATAGCCTTTTATCTGTACTTTTATGGAGAGCAAGCAAGCTCTGGTGTCTCCTCCTCTTCTAATAAGGACACTATTTTCAGTAGATTAGTATTCCACACTTAAGACCTCATATAACCTTAATTACCTCCTTAAAAGAACGCCCTGTCTTCAGATACCATCACATTGGAGATTAGAGCTTCAACATATGAATTTGTAGGGGACACAATTTAGTCCATAGCAGAGTCCTTATAATTTAAATCCTATTTTCTAAGATCATTTTGTTTGTTTATATAGTTTTATTCATCACTTTGATCCTCCTTTGCCTCCTTAATGTCTGTCTACTACAAGTAATCTCCCCGCCGCGCCCCCCCCTGCCTTTTTATTTGGTTTTCCTGATAGATGAACTCATTCATCAGAACTGAAATATCATATCAGTATTTTCCCACTCACAGTGGAACTTTCTCATTCTGGGAGCAATTTTATTTGTAGTTAACCATCTCTGTCTCTTGTTTTACGTGTAGTTGCCACAGTCTACAACTTTTCTCATAGATGTGGGCTCTATATCAGTGTCTTCTACATTTGAGTATTTCCTTACATAATGGTGATTTGTGGTTAGTAGTATTCTGTATCTCCTAATTATGCTAAAGTCATGGATTACTATAGGTAATTTTATTGCTCTCCTTATATTGATTCTTAGGATTTTTTTTAGAAAATACATGGGGAGATTCAGATTTAAGCCATTGCTTTTATTCTTCAGACATTGGAAAGCAAATATGTATGTTCTAATAGCCAGTTTCCTCTCCCTTTTTCCACTATGCTTTTTGTTTCTTGTTTTTTTTTCTTCTTCACCTGAAACTCAAGAAATAGAAGAAATATGTTCTTGCAGTTATTTTACTCCCTGGAGGCTGGAAAAGACATCAAAGTCAACTATACCATAGGGCATTTTTATATAGGGTTCATTCCATAAGAAATGTGTTTATATGGTAACATTAATTTTTCTTATTTCTAGAAGTCTGGAAAACTGATTATGTGAAGGAGAGGAGCCAAGAATACCAGTCTCCACATGTGTGGGAGGTTGTATTCATGAATAATAAAATGCGGAGTAAAGAACAAGGTAATGTAATAGGAATACCATTTAACTTGGAGACAAATTTTTTTCCTCCCAGAAAAATACTCTGCCAGTGTGACTCATGTAGAATGAGTTTCAACTATATTTCAGAATTGATTATCAATAAGAAAAACTATTTAGGGAAAAAGACTGATAAATTTAATGCCTGTGGAAAATTGCTACTCAATACTATACATGAGACAACTCATACTAGAGAGAAAAATGAATTTTTTGAAAGTGGGAAAACTTATAGTCATAATGAGGACCCTCTTCAACATGAGAAGATTCAAACTTTAGAGCAACATTTTGAATACAACATGGATCAAGAAACCTTCCTTGAAAAGAGTGAGAGAACAGAAGGGAATGATTGTGACTATAATGAATTTGGGAGAACATCCTGTGACAACTCATTCTTCTTGTTCAATCAAAGAACACCCTCAAAGGAAAATCACTATGAATTTTGTGTTTGTGGGAAATCCTTATCTGTGAATTCTAATCTTTTGAAGCATTATGGGGCATCTGTGAAGCACTATGAATGTAATGAAAATGGGAGTAATTTCAGGAGGAAAATATGCCTCTCACAACTTCAGAAATCTCTTAAAGGAGAGAAACACTTTGAATGTAATGAATGTGGGAAAACTTTCTGGGAGAAATCACACCTCACTCGCCATCAGAGGATACACACAGGAAAGAAATGCTTTCAATGTAATGACTGTGGAAAAATGTTTTGGGAGAAGTCTGATCTCACTAAGCATCAGAGATCACACACAGGAGAGAAACCCTATGAATGCAATGAGTGTGGGAAAGCTTTCAGTCACAAGTCAGCTCTCACATTACACCAGAGGACACATACAGGGGAGAAACCTTATCAATGTAATGCATGTGGGAAAACTTTTTACCAGAAGTCAGACCTCACTAAACATCAGAGAACACACACAGGGCTGAAACCCTATGAATGTTTTGAATGTGGGAAGTCCTTCTGCATGAATTCACACCTGAGAGTACACCGGAGAACTCATACAGGCGAGAAACCCTTTGAATGTCCTGAGTGTGGGAAATCTTTCTGTCAGAAGTCACATCTTACACAACATCAAAGAACTCATATAGGGGATAAACCCTATGAATGTGATGCATGTGGCAAAACTTTCTACTACAAATCTGTACTCACCAGGCATCAGATAATTCATTCAGGGTTGAAACCTTATGAGTGTTACAAATGTGGGAAAACCTTCTGCTTAAAGTCTGACCTCACAGTACATCAGAGAACTCACACAGGGGAGAAACCTTTTGCATGTCCTCAGTGTGGTAAATTCTTCAGCCATAAGTCCACTCTCTCTCAACATTATAGAGCACATACAGGGGAGAAGCCCTATGAATGTCAGGAATGTGGGAAAATCTTCTATAATAAATCATGCCTAACTAAACATCATAGAACACATACAGGAGAAAAACCCTATGAATGCAATGAATGTGGTAAAACCTTCTGCCAGAAGTCACAGCTCACCCAGCACCACAGAATTCACATAGGGGTGAAACCACATAAATGTAATGAATGTGGAAAGGCTTTTTGTCATAAATCAGCTCTAATTGTACATCAGAGAACTCATACAGAAGAGAAGCCTTATAAATGTAATGAATGTGGAAAATCTTTCTGTGTGAAGTCAGGACTTATTTTACATCAGAGAAAGCACACAGGGGAGAAACCCTATGAATGTAATGAATGTGGGAAATCTTTCAGTCATAAATCATCCCTCACAGTCCATCACAGGGTTCACACAGGAGATAAATCTTGTCAATGTAATGAATGTGGGAAAATTTTTTACCGTAAATCAGACCTTGCTAAACATCAGCGAGCACACACAGGGGAGAAGCCTTATGAATGTAACACATGTGGAAGAACCTTCTCTCAGAAGTCAAACCTCATTGTACATCAGAGAACACACACTGGAGAAAAATCTTATGATTAAAGTGAATATTAGAAATGTTGAGTCACAGTTCAGTACCTACCAGACTTCAAAGAATTCACACTCTGGAGAAAACTTTTTTGACATCCTGAATGTTCAGTAACCATCCACAAACTGGCCTTATTTTATTCCAAAGTAACGATATGGATCAAACTCATAATCTGCAACAAATATCAGATAGTTTTGTTAAGAACTAATATTCCATTGAATGTCAAGTAACTAATACTGGTGTAAAACTGTACAGAATTTTTGATTTTGTAAAATTTCTTAGCAAAAATACAAAATAGCTTGTGTCAGATTTTATATTAAAGCAAAGTTCAAAAATTTTCTTTAGAAGTAATGTATTATTTAAAGTTGTGTTTTGGTTCTGATGCCATAATCTTTAGGAAACATAACAAATTATAATTTATAGATGTATATTGTGCAATGTAAAGCTTTAAAACAAAACAAAAAATAAATTGCAAAATGAAGAAATAGAATCACAAGAAGCTGCATTAATAATACATGGAATTCTCATGTGCCCTTCACCAAGCTTCCTCTAATGATTATATATTACCTAGTTGTATATATTCAAGTATAAGAAATTGATGATAGCCTACTGCTATGTCAGATACTGATCATATTCAGATTTCAGCAGTTTTTACATATACTCTGGGTATAGTTCTGTGAAATTTTATCCCTTATAGATTTGAATAATCATTAGCATAATCAGGTTACGAAATCATAAAGGAATTTGGAATTTGCATCTCATCAGGTTTACAGAGGAATCAAGATTTCACCACAAGTAGTTCCCTTGTGTTAATAGTCATACCTTTTCTGCAACTCTAATCTTGACAACCATTTGAATATGAAGCTTTCTAAAAGCAGAAATAAGTTGAATAATCAGGGCAAAAGCATTAAATGCATATGTCAAGCATCCCCTAAGATCACAGGATTTATGTCTATATAAGTGGTACATTACATAAACTGTTTCATATGCATAATGGAACAATGTAATTGTGAATAGGAAATAATCTTGATTTAGTAGTAGTTATTTCAGGACTATTCCCCTATGTGTGTAGGGCCTGGAGCAATAGTTTGAAATGAGGACCACAAAGCTAATATCAATCACTTAAAAGTTATAAATGAAAAATAATAAACTCTGTATGGGGAGTTCTAGGCCCTAGTCCCATTGCCTCCTTTCTCTTCTCATCCATGGTTCATCCCAAGCCATGGGATGTCTTGAGTGTACATATGTGAATACTCTAGCTCTTAGCCTAAATTTTGTCCAAACTCCCTGTAAGCAGCTGACCTTCATGACAGTGCCCAGGAAAGAAGCCATAGACAACGAGATGATACTCAGGGGTGTAAGTTGGGCTGTAAATTCAGGGTCTGATGTGTCCAGAGGGATGTCTGGACCCTTAGAGACTATGACTATATGAGGAGGAGTGAGCCTGGAGCAAGAGCAGAGTAGTGGTAGAGAGGGGCTTTTATTGACAGTGTAAAGTTGGTATAGTTAATTACATGGTTTACTTGAATAATTAGATTACACAAGTAATCTAAGATTATACTGTTTAGTGATCTTTGATTATATAGTCTAAGCTTCCATTTTAGGAAACCAGAGAAAGAAGAGCAAATTAAATCTAAAGTAAGCAAAACAACGACAAAAACCAGTAAGGGTTAAAGTGGAAATCAGTGAAATTGAAAATGAAACCAATTGAGAAAATCAATAAAAGTAAAAGGTGGGTCTTTCAAAATCAATAAAATTGATAAACCTCTAACTAGGTTAACTAATAAAAAGAGAAGACAGTTGTTAATATCAGAAACAAAAGAGGTGTCTTAACTACTAATCCCATGGACATAAAAAGGATTGCAAAGGGATATGATGGACCACTCACTTATGCCTACAAATTTTATAACCTAGAGGAAATGGACCAATCCTTTGAAAGACACAATCTGTCAAAAGTAGTAGAAGGACCAGTCGGAATAGACATGTAGCTGATAAAGAAGTCGAGTCAATACTTATTCTTCCAAATCAGAAAGTATCGGGCCCAGATGGGTTCACTGGTGAATTCTACCAAATGTTTAAGGATGAAATGATACCAATTTGCTACAGTCTGCTCCAGAAAGTAAAAGCATAGGGAATACATCCTAATTCATTCTGTGAGGCCAGCATTACCCTAATGCAGGCAAAGATATTACAAAAAGCTACAGACTAATATTTCTTATGAACATAGATGTAGAAGTCACCAACAAAATATTAGCTAATTGAATCCAAAAGGTATAAAAGAATTATACATCATAACCAAATGAGATTTATTCCAGGCATGCAAGACTGGTTCAACATTTGATAATTAATGTAACACTTCACATCAACAGGCTAAAGAAGAAATATCATATGATCATGTTAATAGATACGGAAAAGCATTTCACAAAATTTTAGCACTCATTCATGATAAAAAACTAGGAATGCAGGGGGACTTCCTTGGTGATGAACATATACAAAAAAATCTTCAGGTAACATTATTATGCTTAATGATAAGATACAAATGCTTTCCAAGTAAGATAGGTAGCAAGACAGGTCTCTCACCACTTCTTTGGAAGTCTAGCTAATGCAAGCAAGGCAAGTAAAGGAAATAACAGGTGCACAGATGTAGAAGGAAGAGAGAAAAGTGTGTTCACAGATAACATGATTGTCTATGTAGAAAATTTTAAAGAATCAATGACAAAATCTTGATACTAGTAAGCAGTTGTAGCAGGGTTACAGGAAATGATGCTTAGATGGGTGATAAAAAAAAAGAATTGAGCTATGAAACAACAAAAGGCGTGGAAGAAGCTTAGATGCATATTGTTAAATGAAAGCAGCCAACGTGAAAAGCCTTTATACTGTATAATTCCATTGATAATGCATTCTGATAAAGGTAAAATCATGGACACAGTAAAAAGATCAGTGGTTGCTGTGGCTTATGGAGGGTAGGGCAGCAGGGATGAATAGGTGGATTACAGAGGAGTTTGAGAGTTATCCTGTAAGATACTCTAGTGGTGGATACATGCCATTATTTGTTAGGACTCATAGACTAAAACACAAAGGTAAACACTAAATTACAAACTTTAGTAATAATGTATTAATATTGGCTCATCAGTTTTAAGAAATGTCTCATGTAATACAAGATAATGGAAATGGCGGGGTGGGGGGAAGTTGAGGTGAAAAGGTATATAGGAACTCTGTACCATCTTAACTTTTTTGTAACCCTAAAACTACTCTAAAAAATAAAGTGTATTAAGTAAACAGACCCTGTCTACATATGGCAATATGCATGATTCTCTAAGGATATTTTCCTATATAACTACCAAACTTAAAACTCACCCGCTAACTATATTTTTTGGTTATTCAAAGGCATGTCAGAATAACTTAAATTTTTGCCACTGTAAGAATTTTAAAAATATGAAATGTAATACATTTTCAGAGAATTGGAAGAATGCATTAATGAGATTGAAAAAGAAAGGGGAAGAGAGAGAAGCATGATGGTGTGAGGGATGTCCCCAGATCTCTCCCCTTGAAATATCAATAAGCTGAATATCTAAAACTCAACAAATAACACCCAGCCTTCACACAAGCAAGTCTGAGTGAGTCATCTGCTTGCAAGGGCTTCCAAAGGTCGAATCATGAGAGTCTGGGAGTAGATTGGGAGGAGCAAAGAAGCTACCACATGCAGCTGGAACTCCCTGCAGGAGGAGGGAGAGGGGAGAGTTTGCAGCCTATTCCGAACAGCTCTGCCTGAGGGGTCAGGAAATTCCACACAGTGGAGCCCAGGGGTCAGGGCAGAAATCAAAGCAAGAACTAAGTGCAGGGGTTAACAGTTGGGTCGTAGCAGCTGCTGTTGTAAAGCAGGCGGCTGAGACATGGAGCCTAGCAGCAACCCCCACCCACTAACTCAGAGCATGCCTTCCCCTGACTCCAGATCCTCCCATACCTAGCATGGTGGAGCCCCAGGGAAATTTGTGCAACTGGTACTGAAAAACAAACAAATAAACAAAAACCATGGCTGGTGTTATAAATATGTGCTGGGACTGAGGACAACCCATAGTGGATTGAAGCATTATTTGCCTCAGAGATCCAAGAGTCTTGGATGCTACCTACTGAAAATCAAAGAAAAAACCCTTCTTAAGCTAAAGAGAGATGTCTGTATGATAAATCTTTTTTTTTGGGGGGGGGGTAGGGGGAGGGGGTGAAGCAGAGTACACTTTGATTAATGCCCAGGCAGAAAAATAGTTCATCAAACACCATGAATAACCAAGGTAACAAGGGAGAAGGCAGCTCAAAATGAAAGAGAAAATTCTCCAGAAAACAAGCTTTAAGACATAGACACATGCAATTTAAATAACAGAGAATTCAGGATAATATTCCTGGAAAAACTCAATGAGATGCAGGACAAATCTGATTGACAATTTTGAAGAATGAGAATCAATATTGACCAATAAAATGAATATTTTAGTGAGGAGATTGAAACATTGAAAAAGAACCAAATAGAACTTCTGGAGCTAGAGAACACATTAAAAAAGATGAAGAATGAAATGCCAGGCTTGGGAAACAGAGCTGACCAGATGGCGGAAAGAGTCAGTGTCATCGAAGACAGAAGTCTAGAAATGAATCAGAAGAGAGTCTTGAGAATGGAAAAAACAAAAAAACAAGAGCTATAGAACTATCTGACACCATCAGGAAAAGCAACATAAGAATAATGGGTATACCAGAAGGAGAAGGGAACAGAGTGCATATTCAGACAAATTGATGAGAATTTCCTAAATCTAAGGAATGAGCTGGAGCTTTGAATTCAATTTTCTCAACCTAAAAAGGCCTTCTGCAAGGCACATTATATTAAAATTGTCAAAAATTAATGACCAAGAGTTTTCAAGGTATCCAGGGAAAAAAAGACCTATAAAGGAAAATTGATTAGACTACTTTTGGACCTCTCAGCACAAACCTTACAAGCAAGAAAGGAGTGGAACAAAATATTAAAACTATTAAGTGGAAAGAATTAACCAGCCAAGAATAATGTATCCAGCAAAGCTCTTCTTTAGATCTGAAGGAGAAATAAAGAGCTTTCCATTCATACAGAGCTAGGGGATTCTCCACCACAAGGCCCGCATTACAGGAAATAATGAATGGAGTCAGCCCCCTTGAAAATGGCAAAACAGTACATAACTGAGTAAGGCGACTAGCAGGCAAACAGAATCAGAGTATTACAACTCTTATCAAGAACAGGTTATTTTAAGCTTAAACAATAAGAATTGCTATTACAAGATAGTAATGAATATCCAGCATACATTAGGTAAAAGGAGAAGAATTAAAGATCTAAATTTGCAAAGGAGAATGGAGATAAAGCACATGCAGAATAAAATATCCTTTACATATTCTTAATGGTAACCACATGCCAAAGATCCAAAACTGAGATACCTAACATAAAACAAGAAGGATCAGAGGGAAAATCCACAAAGCCCCACCAAATTAAAATAACAGAAATGCAAGGACAAGTAAACAATGGAAACACCAAGCTAACAGAAAACTAAAGATGAAATAGCTATAGGAAAACCTCATATTTCAGTAATCACACTAAATGTAAATGGACTGAAGTCACCAATAAAAAGAGTTGCAGATTGGATCATAAAACAAAACCCAAGTATATGCTGCCTTCATGAGACACATTTCATCTACAAGGATATAGGCTCAAAGTGAAAGGGTGGAAAATTATAGTCCAAGCAAATGGCATCCAGAGAGAAGCAGGTGTAGCTGTACTTATATTGGGTGAAATAGACTTCAAGACAAAAAAAAAAAAAAAAAAAAAAAAAAGGATACTTGCAAACACTTCATAATGATAAAGGGAACCATCCATCAAGAAGACATAACATTAATATTTATGCTTCCAATTAGGCAAGCCCTAAAATATATAAAACAATTACTAACAGAACTGAAGGGAGAAACTGACCCAAACACTATCATAGTAGAGTACCTGTATATGCCACTATCAGATATGGATAGATCATCTAAACAGAGAACCAATAAAGAAGTAACATCCTTAAAGGATACGTTAGACCAGTTGGACAGAATTGACATTTATAGAGCCGTTCATCCCTAAACAGCTGCTTATACATTCTTCTCTAGTGCACATGGAACATTCTGAAGGGTAGATCACATTATGGGATACAAAACTAGCCTCAACAAATACAAGATGATTGAAATCATACCAATCATATTCTCTCATTATAATGCTTTGAAGCTGGAGATTAATTGTAAAAAGAAAGTGGGAAAAACCACAAATAACATGGAAGTTAAACAACATGCTACTGAAGAAAACCTGGGTCATAGAAGAAATAAAAAGATCAAGAGATACATAGAAACAAGTGAGAATGAAAGTATAATGTATCAAAACTTTTGGTTTAATACAAACCAAAAGCGGTAATGAAAGGAAAGTTTATATCATTACAGGCCTATCGCAAAAATCAAGAATGAGCCCAAATAACTTACCCACTTAAAACACTAGAAAAAGAACAAATGAAGCTTAAAGTTAGTGCAAGAAAGGACATAATCAAAATTAGAACAGAATTAAATAAAATTGAAAACCAAAAGAAAATAGAAAAATTAATGCAACAAAGAGCTGGTTCTTTGAGATTAATGACATTGACAACCCCCTGGCTAGACTCACTAAAGAAAAAAAGAGCAAGGATACAATTAAAATCAGGTTGAAAAAGGAGAAATTACGACAGGTACTGCAAAAATGCAAAGGATCATAGAATACTAAGAGAAATTATGACACCAATTTCAATAACATAGGAGAAATGGAAAAGTTCTTAGAAATATTCATCCTTCTTAGAATGAATTATGAAGAATGGGAAAATTTAAAGAGGCCAGTCAGCAGCATGGAAATTGAAACAATCTTCAAAAACCTCCCAAAAAGCAGAAGTCCCACACCAAATGGCTTCACCAGTTAATTCTACCAAACATTCAAAGATTTAATACCTATTCTTTTCAAACTCTTTTAAAAAATCATAGTGGAAGCAGTACTTCCCAGCTCATTTTATGAGGCCAGCATTACCCTGATACTAAAATCTGGTAAAGATAACATAGAAAAAAACTACAGACCAATATCTCTCAACACAGATGCAAAAATTTTAAGTAAGATACTAGCGAAGCAAATACAACAACATGTTAAAAAGATTATACACTGAGGTGAAGCT